GATTGATCATGCATTCATCATATTTGTCAGGCATGTGCGACTAACTAAAATGTTTTTGATTTTCAACACACTGATATGTTCCAATTCTTTTTACGGACAATGTTCTATAGTTATCATCGCCTTTTAGAGTGGATAGTGCATGTTTTATAATCAAAGGTCTTTCTTTATCATTGTTTGTTGTCTGATAACTAATAAAGATAGTTCACGAATCAAAGACATGAAATGTACATCAATTAGCGTTTGCAAAAGAAATAATGTACTTTGCATATAGGAAAGAGAGAGACCTTTGAGAGATTTTTTTTTGAGGGGTCGTGTTTCAAAGTTTAACAAAATAGACGATAGCGACTATCTTCGACTTGTAAGGATGCTCCATACACACACACACACACACATACACAAATGTTTCCATTTGTCAAGTGTTTTAATAACTGATTGAAATTGCGGCTCATTAAAAAATCTTATATGTATATACGTTCATGACTTTATGGAGAGAGTGTTGCAGTTCCTAAATCACCTTGTGAAAACAAAAATATCGATACATTCTTCTTTTCGAAAGACAAACAAGGTTAATACAATAGTAATGAACTGTTATTCTTTTCAAAAAAAAAAAAAAAATTGAATGAATAGAACTACTATACTCGAAGGAAAAACTGTTTGTATAGTTTATAAGCAAATATATAGAGTGAATTTAAGAATAGAGAAAGACATATACATTGAAACATTTTGTACAAAACTCTGTCTGGTGTATATGAACATTGATTAAATGTCTATAAAATAGAAAAAGAAATGTGAAAAGAGTGAGTGTCATCCAATATATTAGGATTGAAATATAGTAAATATTAAATCGAATTTAATTTATATTTGTCTATACTTTCTAATCAACTAATTATAAAACATCTTGTCTTTGTACATTATGTAGTGTCACTGTTTGATCTAAGAGATACAATTAAAATGAATATTAGAATTGATATTTAATTGTTCTGTTTTAAAGAAACGTCTTTTTTTTTTAAGAAACGCAAGATTTTTTTTTTATACGTTAAATTCAACACTACTATAAGATAGTCTATTCAAGTTGATAAGATATGATTAGTAATCAAAGATCTCGTTTCATTTGAACTCCACTATGAAGGAAGATCAAAATATTGAACTTCTCACGTTAAACACTTTTATGAACTGGTAAGATTTTTAAACCGTATGATTGTATAATGTCGTTGCCATCTCTCTAGTGGAGAAAATGATGTTTCTAAGTCAAGGTTAACTTAACAGAAATTTTTTTTTTTTTTTTTAATATAGATCGAGTGTTATTATTATAGTTAAGCACTATAAGTAATACGTTCATCCATATAAAAACACAATTTATAATAGAAACTATAATTCTTTCTTTTTACTGTTCTCTTTTCAGTTAATGTACGGTGCTTCTTATACACATCTCTATTTCGCTATATATAAAAAAAGAAGATAAAAAAGAAAAGAAAGAGAGACAAGAATGAATGAATAATGATCATTTAAGAAAGATATCACCATCAATGTTTTGAATCAATACAAGTGTTAGTATTCGTTCAAATTTGAAAAAAAAATGTGATTGAGAGAATGGTATTTCATCAACGGAAAAGAATTCGACTGATGTTCCATCATAGATCGGTACGTAGAATGTAGATATTTTTATCGATTGATAAAATAAATACCTGAAGAATGAATTTGAAGTAAGACTGATTAGATTAAAAACAAAAGTTTCTCAAGAGAAATGTTATCTGCATAAGGAAAGCAAGATAAAGATTAGTTGGCTCACAATTCAGTTTTAAAGAGATTTTGACAAATTATTTTCCATTTTAACAGATTTTAGTTTTTCTTTTTGAAATGACATAAGTAGGAGAGTAAAATAGAGGAATTTCATCTCATCAACTTTTCTTAAACATTAATTTGTACTCTTCATTAGAAATCTCTGTTTTCGGTATTTTTTTACCAAGTGTTACCATTTTTCCACTCTTTTTCATCAACTCTAATTCACAGTGTCTTCTTTGTTTCTTGTTATGAGGTGTTCAGTTGACCTTATTGTACAAATTTGATGTTTGAACATACGCATAAATTGACACTCAATTGGCATTTTACTATTATTATTATTATTTCATCGTTAACTACGTGTTAGATTCTATTCTCGTCCTACTATATCGTATAGTAGATAATGAGATCATAAAAAAAACAACACGTTTGGAATTTTAATATTTATCAGTTAGTGAAATAAAACATAAACATAAACTTTTTGCCCTAAAATGAAAGCAGACAAATTCCATAAAAGAATATTCACGTACTCTTTTTTTGTGATTATTTTGTACATATATTTCTCTAAATAAGAAGGGTTGATTTAACAGTATATTTTTTGGAGAATTGTTGCGATTTATCAAATAATTCATCTAAGAAAATATCTGTTTCTAATTAGGAACAGATATTTGATTATAGTTGACTATTATTTAAGATAAACACAATTTTTGCATATTGATAATCAACTAAATAATCATAACACTTTAAATTTGTTCTTCTTAAATTTCTAAATATCTTCTTTTTTTTTTATACATGCATAACTGTAATAATAATCAAAAGAAGTTCAACCTTTGAGGCATTTACATACATCGAAATAAAATGTTATTATTTTAAGTTTAATAAGAGAAAATGTTTTTTTTCTTATCTTTTCTTTTTCATCTATCTTGGCAATGAACTTCTTTTTGTTCGTAAATGGACTTTTGCACGTTAGAGAAGAGAAGCAAAGAGACGAAAAGAAAATAGAGAGAATCATCTTTTAAGTTTAATAATAATAATAATAAGAATAAGACGATGAAGATGAAAAAGTAGAAAATTTGAATGGTTTTCATCATCAGTATTACCTTCAGCAATTCGAGAATGATTATATAATATGTAATTGTAGACAAGAGACAGGCAATATGCTCATAATAATGTTATTTTTCTATTAATAGAACAGACGGTTATTTTAAAATAATTTATAAAAATATCCAGCAGGCATTTTGGTATATCGGAAATAACAACTAGAGTCTGTGATATTAGAAATTTTTTTCATAAAAATTTAGTATATAACAAATGAATAATGAAGGTCATTATCCTTGTCTATTAAAATTGATCTAAACGGATAGTCTATTGATTTTTCTTCAAATATCCAGCTGTTACTTACTACTAATGTATAAAAAAACAATTTTTTTTGATGTTCAAGCAATACCAGATTTTCTTCTCATATATATCTCATTCATAAATCCCTTCTTTCTTTGTTAAAGAAAGAATTTTGTGTTAATTGAAGGAAGTCAGTATTATTAAAAAGATGTTCTTTTCTATTTTTCTTTTTTTGTTTTTCTCCTATTCTTCTATCCGAAGGCCTAATGAACATAATCAATTTCTATGATGAAAATGATAATAAATAATTACACCCGGAGGTCATTAATTGTCGCGGTCGTTGTCTCTCTCTTTTTCTCTGAAGGTTTAGTACAAATTCTATACACATTCGGCTTATAGTTATGATCAATTAGGATCAACTTGATAAGTTTGTGAAAAAACTAAGACTTCAATAGAAAGACAAGTCGTAAATGTTTTCATTTTACACAAAACAGATTTACCTCTTATTTCTTTATCTGTGCACATAGACATTCAACATACATACACCATGAAATAAAGATGTATTAGAGAGAGAAACGAAAAATTGAAAAATGAACATCTTTTAAATGTTAATAGAAGAAGAAAAGTCAAAAAAAACAACAAAAAAATTACGAACTTTGATAGTGGCAGATCGGAATAGGAAGTTTTAATAAAAGACCAAGAAATACAGATGGTCACTATTCTAGTAAAACAAACAAAGTGAGATGTTTAGAACGTGTAACAAGATCGAGCATGTACAAGATTAAATTGACCTTGAAACAGATGATAGTGATCATCAGCACCCAACTAACAGGGTCTAGTGATATCATACAACATTTCTTTCATGTAATTAGCTAACACAGTCTCATTTTGTTCGCTTTTCTCTTTTGTCCAACAACTGATAACAGAACTATATTTAGCGGTTTTTCTCTCTCTTTTGGTCATTCAATGATAAAAATTTCCTATTCACCATATAGTTCACCTAATTATCGTCATTCTTTTTCTCTCTTTTTTTTTTTCTTTTTTTGATTTGAACCTTAATAGATGAAACCATATGATATCCGTAAAGCATTCATTTTTCTTTTAAAAGAAAAATGAAAAAGTAAATTGCCTAGCAGGATAGTACCCGTCCCATATTTATATCGACATTTTCAGTCTGTCATTCGTTGAATGATGAATATATCGTGTCATAATTATGAACACTAAAGATTTTTCTATCGTAAATGATTGATATTGACTTCTCATTTGTCATCGTATAATTTAATTATTATCTCAGTTATAAATCTTTAAATACATATGAAAATGTTGTAGAAAAAAAAAAATGTCAATGTCAGTTTTAACAGATGAACAAATAGCGTATAAACTAAAATGTTTATGAAAATGGAAAAAAAAATGTGAAATTTTATAACCTAAAAATTGTTGATAATGTAACAAACATGAAAAAGTATACTAATTGTTGATGTAAAAGTAAAAAGTGAGTTATCAATCGGACAACTTGAATTATATTCTAATGAATATATTCGAGGGTTTAAACTCTTAAAATTTTAGAAGTAGAAATTCTAACTAAGATTAGGTTGATTATTGTGCTACTAAAGTTAAATAATTCTTCTACTGATTTACGTTAAAAACGTTCTGTCTTATGTGACAGTTGTCGATACATATATTTTTTTTTTATCGTTTTTATCAATAATAATGTATAAACAATTGAACATAGATAAGAAATGTCTATTTGACTATTTTTTTTGTTTTTTTTCTTTCGTTTGAAGTTTCAATCTTTAGTAATTGTTGATAATGTTATCATTCAACTGTGATACATACTACTTTTTCTGTTTTTAGATTTTATAATTTAACAACAAAATCATACAATGATAATGATTATTTTTTTTCTCTATTCATTTATTTATTTAACAAATTCAACACCCATATTAAAATCGACATATGCTGTTATTATTCCAGAAAAATCTGCTTCCAATATTACAATTTTTTCATTTAATTCAGAATATTCTTTACCAACTACAGCATATGAATTAGTTAATGCACCTTCAAATATTGTTTCATCTTATTTTCAAATTCAATCAAATGGAAATCTTTTATTAAAACAATCGATTGATCGTGATCAATGGTGTCAATTAGGTAAGTAATTATTAAAATTCAATTATTTTCTTCTCTTTTTTTTTGGCATATTTTAACCTAATTTATAAATATTTTTCAAAGGTTATTGTTCATGCGATATATGTTCTCTTATGTTACAAGTAATTATTGATGATCAACAATTTGATCATCCAAAATTTTCATCTATTAATATTACTATTACCGATATTAATGATCATCGTCCTCAATTTTTTGATATTAATGAAATTAAATTATCAGAAAATATTCAAGTTAAACATCGTTTTCAAATTGGACGAGCAATTGATCTTGATTCAGGTGTCAATAGTCAATTGAAATTTTATTTAACCTGTTTAACATGTACATTGACAAGTAATCCATTTATATTAAGTATAACACCATTATCAGCAAATGAATATTCATTAAATGGAATTGTAATAGCACCATTAGATCGTGAAACAGTTTCTCATTATTTATTGAGATTAGAAGCTATTGATGGTGGAACACCACCATTAGCAAATTCAACAAATATAACAATTACTGTACAAGATGAAAATGATAATGCACCAAAATTTAATCAATCAGAATATTTTATTAAAGTAATAAAAATATTTTTATCTTAAATTCGACTATTTTACCTTTTTTTTTTGTCTATCTTTTAGAATCTTCGTGAAGATACTGCTGTTGGTACAAATTTATTAAAAATTTATGCCACAGATGCTGATGAAGGTATAAATGGACTTATTCGCTATGTAATTGTCGATCGTCATTCTCCATTTTCGATTGATTCTGTTACGGGTGTTATTCAATTAACATCTCCATTAGATTATGAACAACGTCGATGGTATCGTTTATTAATTCGTGCTACAGATTGTGGTCTTATTCCATTGAGTACAGATGTTCGATTAACAATAAATATCATTGATGTCAATGATTGTCCACCTGATATTATATTTTTTCCACAACGTCGTTTACAATATTCAAATTCAACTCTAATGATTAGTGAAGATATTCCTGTTAATACTACTTTAGGCTATTATTCAATATCGGATCAAGATTCATACGATGTTAGTGGGGATTTATCTGCTCGAATTCAAACAAATAGTTCATGGTTTAAATTAATTTCAAATGGTTTTAATTCTTATGCGCTTATAACTGTTTCTGAATTAGATCGTGAAACAGTACCATCTATTCGTATTCTATTTACCGCTCAAGATAGTGGCAAACCTTTACCATTATCATCAATTCATGAATTAAACATTATTTTAATCGATGTTAATGATAATCCACCTATATTCGCAAGTAATCCAATCGTGTTTTCGATTGAAGAACTGGGGTATTACGTAATGAAAAATACGATAGATATTAAAGAGAATGATGATCGAAATTTAACCATTGGATATTTGTATGCAACTGATGCGGATATTGATGAGAATGCTGTTAGTACATATCATATCGAAACAAATTCATACGTGAAAGTTGATTCAAACACCGGTTTACTCTCGTTATTTCAACCCATGGATAGAGAACAAGTCTCATTGGTAAATATATCCGGCTATGCAAGAAATGTTGCCAAACCCTATTGGACAACAAACGTAACGATTTTAATTAAAATGTAAGGAACAAAATAAACTATCTATTAATTGCTTTAATAATTTCTTTTTTCTTTTAGAACGGATGTTAATGATAATGTACCTCGATGTTCACAGCTCGTATATCATATTGAATATGTTGAAAATGCAACAGTTGATCAACCACTACTGACTGTCAATGGAAGTGATTTAGATTATGGTGAAAATGGTACAATTACTTATTCTCTTATTAATACAAGTCCACCATGGCCATTCGAATTTGATATTAATAAAGGTTCTTTACGTTCTCAGCGTATCTTTGATTATGAATTAATTTCACAATATAATTTAACAGTAGAATTAGCTGACAGAGGTCATCCTATATCATTAAATTCAAAATGTTTGATTGAAATACAAATTCTTGATATTAATGATAATATTCCTCAATTAATTTCTCCAATAGATGGTCAAATATTTATCAATCGTGAACAACTTAAACAAGGTTTTTTAATGAATTTAATAGCTCGTGATGATGATAGTGGATTAAATGGTCTCGTCCGATATTCTCTTCAATCGATACAATCACATCAATCGATCACTGATGAAGAATTAGATAAGACACATTTGTATAACAAAGGCGGAAATAGACCAAAACAAGAAAAACAAGATAAACAAACAACATTGACAAATAATCAATCACCATTTACATTATTAACAAATGGAAGTTTATACATAAATGAAGTGGTGGATAAAATATCATTGTTCAAACTACAAATATTATTAGGTATGTATTCGATCGATGAGAAGATATGTTATATTGATCTTATCTTTATAAAATTATTCTAGAGGATTGCGGATCACCTCCTCAACGTTCTTTAGTTATACTTACAATTGGCTTTGGTGATTCTATAATAAATAGTGTTGAAACCGTTCAAGCTGTTATCATAGAAATTGAACATTCACGTGCACGTCCAACCTATATTGGTCTCATACTCGGTTTAACAGTATTATGTATTCTATTTTTATTTCTCATGTTTATCAGTATACTCTGTGCTATTCGAAAACATCGTCGACGTCGACAACTACAAAACCTTTTAACATTAAAACAAAATGATGGAGAACAACATCGTAGTGTTGTGAGTAAATTCTTAAATTCTCAATTAACACCGTCGACATCATCAGCATCAAGTTCAACAGCCACTACGAATGAAAGTGGAAATGAGGGAAAAGAACGTTATTATCAAAATCAAAAAATTATTGTTAGAGTAAGTGAAATAGTTATAAAAGAAAAGTTTCGAATGAATTTTGAGTTCAAAAGTAGTAGTATCCTAGTCAGTACGAAACAGTGAGATAAAGATGTCTCTCGATATGTGTATTAACTTTCATATTTTTATCTTAAACATATGGTTAGTTTTTATCTTCTTTAGACATCACATTTTGTTTTGATATGCCCACGAACTGTTTATTAACCTTTTTTGAGACCAATATGTATTTTTTTTTGACTCGATGTATGCTTATCTTTCTCTCTCGGATACATACACACACACAGACACACATACATATTCTTACTGATAAAAATGCCTTGAGTTGTCATTATATAAAGTAGAAAAAGAAAAATATTGAGTTAAATTAGTTAAATAAACAATTTCTTTATATGTCAGAAGAGATTCTAAAAGAAACGTGTGTGTTTAACGTGGAAGATCAAAGACAAAGTGGATGAACAATAAAAACAAATGTTTTATTTTTGAATAAAAAGTCAACGTTTAATAGATAACAGGTGAAATAATAAGAGTTTTGAGAAAAGTCAGTATTCATTTAGATTAATGAGAGAATTTCTAGAATAAAGTAAACAAATATGATTGAATATTTTATTTATCTTTTTTAGACATGTGATCAGGATCGTTGGGAAGAAAAAGATTCGACAATAAGTTCAAATTCACAAGAAAAAGGTTCAACATCATATAATGGTAAGTTGTTGTTATTTTTTACTAAAATAATTTTAAAAATGAATATTTTGTTTTTTCTATTTAGGCGATACTTCTTCACCTGAATCACGCACTTACAAAATTTTACATTTACCAAATACAAATGGTAATTATTGGTCATCAACTAGTCCATCACAACAGCCATTTATAACGAATTTATCTAATGGCTTTGGTTTGTCTCATACTGCCACTAAAGACTTAAATCGACAATTAAGACAAACGTTGACAGTGAGAAATGATGAAGGTTATTATGGTAGTAATGAGACAGGTTCTGACTCAAATACATCCGATATTGTTCAACGGCAACCAAAAGTATCAGATAGACCTACTACTTCAACAACAATGCCAAATTTCTATTTGAATCAACGATTATCTTCGACATACACACTACCACCATTTGTGACAATTTGTGAAAAAGTTGGTGGACCATCAACAAACGGAGGATTTTTAGAAATGAGTGTTGATGGAAGCGATATTGAAGTATAAATAAACTATATTGAGTCAGATATTTTTTTTTCTATTATTATTTTTTGCTTATGTCAGATAATACTCATAAACCTTTACTTTCTTTTGTTCTTGTTAAGTTTTATTTTTATACGATAGAGACATTGGCTATATTAGCCAACATGTTATGTATATTTAGCAAAACATTATATATAAAAGTGTGTAAGTGAGTGAAATAAATTTAATTTATAATAAAAATTTCAAAATTATAATATAATATTAGAAATTCAATAGAGTTAAAAACTTTATGCTTCTTCTAAGAATTCCATAGTAAATTATTCAATTCAGATAAACACATAATATTGAATTATATAGTGACGAAAACGTCGTTAACCCATAAGGACGCGCGCATTCAGATACTAAACACCTGTACAAACAATTCAATGTACTTTTCCATGGCTGATTCTAATCTCTGGATAATTATTACGTCATGAACTTTGAGTAAAGGTATGACAGAGGCGGGAAAAGGATTAAAGAATACTAAACACTTGTATAAACAATTCAATCTACTTTCTCATGGCTTATTCTAATCTCTGGGTAATTTTTACCTCAGCGCACATTGTTAAGGGTTAAACAAATATACTTCCTGCTTATAGAAAATAAGTCTTGTCCGGACTATTATACGTTTCACCATTAAATAACTTTGGTTGTTTTTGAATAACTCGAGAACAACAAAGTGATAGAAACATACGTTTTTCATCATTTTGTAGAGAAATGTTCACTGCATCTTTTGGCATATGGAGTGTTTTCAAAGTCAAATGTACAAGTGGTATCTGGCCAGTGAAAAAACAATAAATTGCTAGATACCAAAACCAAATAAATGTTCAACTAAAATTACATGATTAAATAGTCCGTAGTGTCCTCTACAAAACTATTTCGCTACTTACCATAGTTCTCGGATGGCGTAGGTTGTGCTGAGATCTACCTGTCTTAGTTCGATTAGCTCAGATAAACTGAAAGATAACTACGAACACAGGCAGCAGAATATCTAGCAGGTACTTCGACTGTCGAACATCCACAAACTACGTCATACAATCAAGATTATGTCTTCTTCAGAGCTGGAATCGATTAAGAAACGGTAAACCGGTCCGGCTCACCCGGTGAACTGGCGGACTGGAATTATAACTCAAACCGGCAAAATACCGGCGAAAAACTGGCGAAGTTTTCTGAAAATCGATTTTCAGAAAGAATTTCCCCCAGAAATGAAATGGTTTGTGAGCACATGTGAGAGAACCTTCGCTAAAGGACTCAATTTGAGTTCAGCCAAATTTGTAAAACTTTTATAAGGTCTCAAAAAAAAGTTTCAATTTCTCCATAATCTGAAGGACTTGAAATGAGTTCTCTATTTGGGACTAATGAAGAACTTACATTTATATTCTTTTACAAGTTCTCCAAAAATCAGAAAACAGTTCTTTTTCAGTATAAATAGGTGAGATCATTATGAAAACCGGTTGCTTTCGACCAAAAATTGAACAAAAGAAAATTAAAAACTAAGCTAGTTTGCAGGGAATTAAATGCTAGGTCAGAAAATGAATTTACAAACTAAAAGAAAGTTCGTTTGCAAAATGTAATTAGCTAATTAAGGCAAATTAATAACCTTTTTGCTGTTATTAAGAAAACTGATTATCTGTTGTCCAAAACAATAGAAAAAGACAAAAAATGCGATTTTTAAATCTTTTTCAGAAGTGAAAAAATTCTTGAAGAAGTTGATAGGTTGTTGAGGTCGTTAAAGAAGTTTCAAAACAGTTATTGGAACGTTCTTATTTTCGAATTTTTTTGTCTAAAATTTCTTTAGAAATTTTAATTAATATGTTTTTGTGGCTCAGATTTTGCTCTTTCCAACGAAAAAAATATGTCTGTAACGCTCTGGAAACTAGGAGAAAGATCATCTGACTTTTAATGTCAAGACATTTTCACCGTATGTTACCAGCACACTCATTTCTGGACCAAACAGTACGTTTTCTAATAAAACTCTGGTTTTTCAGATAAAATCCATTGTTTTCGATCCAGGAACATTTTTATTTGAGAAGTAAAGCTATAATCGGAATTAGCGCGTCGAGTTGCATCGAATAACACAATACGGTTTGGATCGAAAAAATAATCGAAATTTTTTCCAATGAATCAGCAAGACCGATTTTTCGATACAAGCGGTTTTTTCTGAAAACGTTTATTTTTTCTTGACAAGCATCAGAGATTACCAAACAATCGTAATTATTCATGAAAAAATAGTTTACGAGCAAAAAATTCTGATGTCCGCTTGTTGTTAGAAAAATGTCCACTATGCATCGGTAGGGTAGATAGAATGATTTTTCGGTTTTTTTCCCATCTTATGGATTCTTTTGGAAAACGTACTGTATGGTCCAGAAATGTTCACGCTATCTATATTGATTCAGGATAGATCGACAAGTTTCCATACAGGTGTGATAAGTATAATGAGGTTTCCAAACTTTTCCTTTAAGCTAGCTCAAAATTTGCACAATCATCTAGGTTGCAAACTAATTCTACTTTGCCGATTATATAGGTTTAAAATGAGAAATATCTTAACTATCAAACAGCCCAGGTTTAGAATCTCTATCATTTTTATTTACAGTTTTGTTAGAAATAAAAAATAATAATTTATTTTTTTAATTATTATTTTAATAATAATAACACGCTGTACAACGCTGGCGATTGGTATACGCAAGATATGAAAATGTTGGACATTGTTGTTTTTCGTCTCTGCATGAAATTACGATTGGACTATCAAGCACTCTGCAAAATTCTTTTACTTTCTTTGATAATTTTGATCATTCCATTATTTCCTACAATTGATGGTCGAGATTGTATGAGTATGCCAGTAACATACGGTGAAAATATCTTGACATCAAAAGTCAGACGATCTTTCTCTAAGTTGCTAGAGCGCTAGAGACTTATATTTTTTTCGTCGTTGATCAGTGTCGGTCATAGGAGTTGTATTGGCATGAGATTTATGTTGTGGTTTTTGGGGTAATTGGGTCCTTGGATTCGATTCGCAGTGCACAGTTCTGATTGTTGTATGTCTAAATGAAGATATGAAAATATATGAACATTCATTAAAGATCATTCATTAAAGAAAGAGATATTTGTGATTTTGTCAGTAGGCTCATGAGCCTATTGAGCTTTAGCCAGAGGAACATTAGAAAATTAGGTACTTTTGCCGCGCTGCACCAAATTAGATAAAAATTGGGCACGTTAAAGTTCCTGTTGACACACCTTGTAGAGCTTTTCAAGACGCATCAAATGGTGTATGAATGATTAAGGATCACCTTTAGCCTCCTGGAGAAAAGTGCCCGACAGTTCGAGTAGCATAGCGGCGACATATGAAAAAATCTAGTCTTTGATTCATAATCGATATCTGTTGCTCTGAGTATAGTCATAGACACATCATAAATATTCCTCGAACGATGACTATTATTTATTGTTTAGTTAACTAGTAAACATGTTGCAATATCGATGTTACAGTCAGAAAACAGAATATTAGTCTAACTTTAGAGAGCAAAGCGAAACTAAGACTAGTATGCAGTAGTTTGATAGGATTCAACTAGGAGCTGATACACAAAATCAGTTCTAACATATTCAAGTTGTTATCGTCTCAATAATCACACCATTCATGAAAGAATGTTTCATGTTGTCGGTAATGATGATAATTTTGTTGTTAAATTCGTCGTTGTTTTTGTTGTCGATGATGATGAGAGTGTTTTTCCTCTTAGTGATGATTGTGCTTTCGATTTAAAATCGCACAATGTTAATCTTAAACTTTTAAATAAACGTTTATTGCATAAAAATCCGAAACATACATAAACACCGGGCATCGAATTGACACATTCAAATATGATCCACATCCATTCATATCCTAGTGCTAGACTAAGAGCTAATAAAAACCAATTAGAACCCATTAATGATGCTAAACGAATGTACAATGTTAAACGTATGTCATTATTAGAAACATTACGAGCAAATTTGGATATTTTATTAGCTTTTCGAATATTATAAATACTTATTGCAAATAAACAGGCAATAGTGACAAGTAAACATCCAATGGGAATGAGAAAAAATGTAATCGTAGCATTACGTTCAGATATTAAACAGTAAATTTTTCCATATTTAGGAGAAAACGAATTTGAATAATTAATGAAGTGAAGCATAGCTGAAATAAACACCCATACACCACTGAATGTCCAAACAAACACATTGTAATAAAAAAAACGTTTCACTGATAAATCGGAATCTTTTACTATCATTTTTGAAAAAGTAATCCATACATCAAATGAGATAGCTGTTAACCATGCAAATGTAGTCAAATAAAAATAATGAACAATAATTCCAAATAAAACACAAAATTTTGAATATTTAATAAGATCAGCAGTTGTAGTAAAAAGTAATTGTGCGATAAATAAACAGATAACTAATAATAGTAAACATTTACCAGGAATACTGTGTAATGATGGTACAAGTGAATAAAGTATTATAAATAATACTAAACTTGTCAAAGAAATAATTGTACAAATGAGTGACAATGCAGTACGATAAAATGGAAATAATAGTATTGTTTTATCTAACGTATGATTAAAAATACTATTTTTATATTTTTCACCACAGAATATCAGTATATCAGATGTTTCATATAAATAATCAGCTCGATCTAAAAGTATAGATAAATTTTTTATTAATAAAATACTTCCATTATTTAATTCTATAACTGAATTTTTTGAAATTCGAACAGGTTCTTGACATTTCATGGCATTAATAATTTCTTGATCAATATCATACATTGTTGAACAATCATTTGTAAATATATCATATAATTTATTTTTATCGTTACATGGATATTTTGTAGAATAATGTGTTCGTTTACGTAATAAATCTGGATCAAATAGAACGGCAATTGGATAATGACGAATTAAATATGTAGGTATAATTGCTAATCGTTGAAATGGATCATTACATATATTAGAATTATTATTGATCAATGTACTATTTTGATCACACATAAGACAATATTCATTTCGATATGTAATAAAACGATTTGTTTTTGTTACATTTAAATAACGATAAGCATTAATTGAATTACACATAAATGCAAGTGATGAATTTTTTATACACGTATTTTGAATAAATTGTTTACACGGTCGAATGGAAACAAGTGGTATAAATTTACTATCATCCAACATTGGATAATGAATTGTTTTCATACAATTTTGTGTTAAATTTATAAGATTTTTAAAATTTTCTGTTGTATTTACCATAAATTTATCAATATCAATATTTACATTTGCCTTACATAATGGTTTATATGACCATAAAATACTTGAATGAATATCATTATTACAATAGGCACAATAATAATTACGATATGTTATATTTGTTTGAGTACTTGTAACAGGTATAAATAATGTTGGATCATCAGATAATGTTTTTGTTCGATAACTTTGACATTGTTTATCAGCTTTTGTACCAATATAATTTGGTAAACAAGTAACAGTCATCCAAATTGAAATAGTTGGATAATCAACGTTGACAGAAGAAGTAGATGAAAGAAAATCGACACATTCATAGTTAGATATATTAATAGAAGAATTTATTGTTCTAATATTTTGACAACAATCATCATATATTAAACATAAATCATCACAAAAACAATTTCTACTTTGAAAATATAATGTTTCATTAAATATTGAAATAGAACGACCAATATCATCTATTGTACATTCATCTCGTCTTGAGCATGATTGAAGAATAGTTAATTGAAAATTTGACGTTAAAATAAGAATAAATACTATAGTAGACATTTTGTTAAAATAAACAAATAATATAGTACGATAAGTTAATAAATTTAAATAAATTTTACATAAGTCAAAAATTAATTTTTCATATTGTATGACTTTTGACTCTTCAACTGAACCGTTTATGATAAAAATGTATAGGTTAGTATTTTGTTAGATTGTATAAATTCATATATTTAATGCTTAATTTTATTTTAAAAGTATGAAATGAAATGTTAACAATCAAAATTCAAACAGGTTTTCTTTTGTGCGTTCTAATTTGTTGATTAATATAATTGAGAAAAAACAAAAATAGTAACTAGAATAATAGAAATTTGTTTGTGATTTTGTCTCTTTTTACTCTGTCCTACTAAATAACCGTGTAAATGTTAAGAAATGAATAGTTCATAGAAATTAAAAAAAGTAACACAGCATATTTATCTAAAGATTGACAATAAGCAAACATCATCCTACATGGGCACACCGCGGCTTTCGTTCTCTTGTAAACTATGTCATTGATCCATGTGACTCAAGAAGACAAACAACTTTTTTTTGGAAAAAATAAAAAGAGACACATCTAAAAGAAGAAGGACATACCTATACCGAAAACCTGTGTAAGGTGAAGAGAAAAAAAGGTAGTTTTACGTGTGTTCACACTTTTTCGATCATTTTCCATAGCCATCACTAGTTTAATGTCCTTTAAATAGGAGGCTAGCCTAGAAATAAGACGAGTTGGCTACCGGCAGCCCAGAGGTGCCTCTCGCTATGGCATGCGGTAATCGGACCCTGTTACCGCTTATTTCGAAAAACATTCTCGGCAGGCGGAAATTCATCCATCTGTACAAGTCAAAACATTAAATCAAAAAGATTAGATACTTTTTAACACTAGTTTATTGTCAATTTTCGACATTATTTTTCTTGTTTTAAATTGATGGGGAATTCATTTTTTTTCTTCTCATTCTCCTTTGGCAAACAAATGGGAAAAGATACATCAACGGATGTGACACTTTCAAATTACCAAGTTATTTAAATAACGTAGGTCTATTTTTATTTTGGATTATCAAAATTTACACTAATTCAACTCGTTCGTATTTTCTATCTATAAATAGTATCCTTATTCTTCTTCAATTACATAACATTAAAAAATATATATTTTTTGCAAATAATATCAAATTGTCAATATTATGAGCAATTAGGATCTAAATTAACTCGCTGGCTACCGCCGACGTATATATACGTAACTGAACTTTATCAGTGTCTAAAACTAACGCAATCAATCGTAGTGTATAAACTTCCAAGTACAGTAACTACTTGATTACATGATGACGCAAAGATATCCCGTTCGGGATATAGGGTATATTCCGAACGGGATATCACAGAAAATCATACCCTGATCGGGTTATTTTTGCAAAACATTTTGGAAAAAATCATTGCCGCAAAAATCGTGACGTTATGGCAGAAATGTGAATATAACATAAGAAAACGGATGAAAAACTGAGTCGGAATCAAAGATGCTCTAATCTTGGTTTAAGGATCTACTGTTCACGATTTTTTAAGTTTTAGTGGGGATATACAAAACAGTCTGATCGGGATATATATCCCGTTCGGGCTATGAGACCAGAACCAGTATACTATATCCCATTCAGGATATAAAAATATATCCTGATCGGGCTATATCCCAAAGAGGATATATATTATAGCCCAAACGGGATATATATTCTCATCGGGATATGTATTCCGTTCGGGCTATGAGACCGGACTGCCCGTGCAAAAAAGATATTTTAAAAATAGACTCAAGATTCAAAATATTAAAAGATTGGTCAAATTCTCTCACTTAACTTGTACACTATATTTATCTCACTCAGTTCTGGACGCTCTTTCGAATGGCTTAGTCAGAATTTTTTTTTCAGTCACTCATACCTGAGATGGATGGAGCAGTCACACTGACGAGTATGGCACTTTTGGCTTAAAGTCGCGTTTTCACCTTAAAGAAAACGTTTTTCAAAATTATCTTTTACCAAAATGTAGCTCGCGCTCTCCTCTATCGATCGATGTAGTTTTCATATGTTGCCGGTGCCTGTACGACGTAAAAAAGGGTTTTTATCAACTGTACGGAAAATTTTTGCCGACTGGAAAACGTTCACTTTTCGGTCTAATGAGCCTACACAGAACAACAATGAATATTTCTAACTTTTCTTATCTACAAATACACTAGAGAGAGCGGAGAATATTTTGGTGCAAATCGCTTGTCAAAAGCTATTTTTTGTTACCGAGTTATGACCAAAAGAAAAAGAGGATAAGGATGTACGGAAAATTTTTGCCGCCACTGTATATATTATCGACTGTTTCAAAGATTTCCATACCTTACAGAAGGTTTAACGTTACCTCCTATAAAGGACAAGTGGCAGAATGTAAGGTTTCGTGCCCAAAAAACTACGCAATGAGTCATACATATTCGGAATCAGCGTCGAATTCTGAGTAAAACTGTATTCTCAGATCGTTCAAATTCGCGAAAAAATTTTTTTCAAAAAATTTTAGG